TCTTAACTTAAATTTTAAACACTAACAATTTTTTAAGAGAAAACTCATCTCAGATATTCTCTCCGTTAAAGTGGCCTCATTATCCTAGACAAACTTCGTTGTTAGCCAATTTCTGTTGGCAATTAAACACACTTTTGGCAGGCGGCAACTTGGCATCCATCATCTTGAGAAGTCGGATGTCGGATGTCGACGTCGAGTGTTTATAATGCACTCTCAAAGGAAGCGTTTACAGTTATTTTCCTGGCTTAATGATATGCAAATACATACAAACAAAACGACGAAGGCGAAAGCAGCTTGAGCCGTTAATTGTCTTGCCTTTGTTGTTGCCATCCCGCTGGGCTGGCTATTAACATTTAATTAAACGCCTTTCGCTTTCGCTTTCGCGTTTCTCCATCAAAAGTTAGAGAGTGACATAATTACAAGCCAGTTACACACGTTTTTCTAAACGAATTTCAGTTCAGCATTTTGCTAGCAAGAGTAAGCCCTTCTTCTCGTAGAAGCTCTGCCATGTCCGCTGCGTGCATTATTGTTTAATTGCAATTAGTGCCAAGCAGGAAGCAGCGGAAAGCGGGTTCCAAAATGATAATAACGAGCCGTGTGTCGGCTCATGCATAATGCAAAAGCCGAGCCTCTGCCTCACACATTGCAATTAAGTTGCAAAAAGCAGGGAAAGACACGGGGAGAAACCGAAATTGAGGTTGTTATATAAATATATCGAAAGCAAAATTCCTACATAATATAGCAACAATACAATATGCGGCGCTCATTATCCTAGTAAATATAAAATTAGCTTTTATATATTGAAATTTAAAATATGGAAAATTAGTAATGCTATCGAAAAATGTTCCAAAAATGGTATTTAATTTATTTGTCTCTTTTTGTGAATTAAATTTTTTGACGAATACTTTGGCTCTATATATCAAACAGAATATCAATTTATCCCAACATTTAAATACCTTTATTTTAAATTATATATATTAATGCGTCGAATATAGACATAGTATACATATATCGATACTTTTCTCCTTTCTAAAGGTCCTTGTGATGGTATTAATAGTACATAATAACTGCATTATAAGCTTTCACAGGCAGAAACAACCTTTTTCTTACCGTGCCGCTTACCATTGTGACTGATATTCTCCGTGTGTCTGCCATAGTATTTGCCTTTGTTATTGTTGTTGTTTTTGTTGCTGCTGATGCTGTCGAACGTCGTGTTGAAAGTATCTCTTTGGCAGCCAAGTCGAGTCCCGGGCCTTGAAGTGTGTGTTGCCACTTGAGTTCTCCAGCTGCTACTTCTCGTCTGTGCTCTTGCCTTCCACTTTCTCTTGGCTCCCCCAGTCCATCCCTGCTCGTCCACTTCCCTGGCAGGAGAGTGCCTGCCAGCCTGCCAGCCTGCCAGCTTGAGAAGTCGCCTTGAGAGTGTGTTAGATTATTTTTATGTGTTTTGGTTGTGCCTTATTTTCGCATGCCTAAGTAGTTGGTTTAATAAATTGCATTGCCAAAGGTGGCGAGAGCGAGACAACAATTTACGGATTTTCAGGATTTGAATTGCTAAACATTTGCAAAAGTTTCCTCTAGACTCATTGAATAAGTTGATATTTTGTTTTTCTCGGTTGCTAAACGAGTTAATTCCTAGCTTTCTTTCTGCCGCAATGAAGCAATTTCGGCGGCACGCTCTGGTTTTTGGTACAGTTTAACATTGAATTACCACTGAAATCACGTATACGACGTGGTGGCGCAGTTGCGCAAAGCAAAAAGAAGCTCCCAGCACACACACAGAGTGCATCACAATAGTAATAAACAATTTACCAACACCCCCCTATATATATGTATAATATATATAGTACCCCCAACAATTCGCTCTGCATCAAGGTTAAAGTACCCTGCTCATAAATATTTTAAAACCAACTGAAAGCGTAACGAAACCGAGGAGTAAAAACAGGAGCACTCAGCATTCAAGGTGCAAAATGCGAAGCGAAATGTCCAAAACGTGGCAAAACAAAGGAGGCGGGAGGGGGGCGGACCTCCCTCAACGAAACCGAAGTTAAACAGTTTTAAATCATGCAAACGACGACCCTAGAGACAAAGGACTAAGAGGGAGGAGGATGGAGGCAACAATGGTGGCCAGAGAAATCAAATGTCAACTTAATGCAAGGACAACTGCAGCTGGAGAAGTTTGTGGCTGACGCTCAAGGCCAAATTGATCAGGCCCGAGAGCCAGCGAGCTAGCGAAACTGGGTCAACACACACATACGCACACCCTCTACAAATAAGTTGCCAGTAACTAACCAGCAGCACAGACACACCCCTGGCAGACACACACACTACCTGGAACAAACTACACTCCTCACTCTATGACTGCCTGCCTAATCCTGGCTGTCTTCAAGGAATTGCTAGGTCTCATGCTTCATTCAATTAAATCGTATTTCGGTATTCATTATGCCTAATTTGGCCTGATAAATTAGGTCTAGAGTTTCTTTTTACAATGGAATTCTGATAATGAATGGTATTTCTATATAAATAGAAAATTATCTTCTTCTCCATAATATTTATTATCCATTTTAGTATTTACCTTAGCAATACGTCCAACAAATGTTATTTGCATTTCTCACTTGAAATCTGTAACATCTCTCGCTCTCGAAAACAATCGAATAAATGTCGTGACAACTTAACAACCTAAAAGGAAACAAAAAGTGATCGATTCCGTGCGAAACGTGACATGAAACTTGACCAACACAGAAGCTGTCATATTTTCGTGAAACAATTTCTGGAGTGAAGCATGTAACGCACTCCATGTAACGTCACCAGCTTAGTTGCTTATTAGTGTCACTTGTCACAAGGACAACGGGACACGTGGCCTGAAATCCAGTATGTCGAATCCTTCATTTCCACACGATGGCATCACATAACGTTACAACGACGTCGAGTGCCTGTCTCACTCACCTGCGACCTGCATTGCCCTGCATATTAATGGGCTTGTAATAAACACAATCGTTCACCTTGACAGCCTGTGGGTTTGGTCAGTCCGTCAGTGGGCAGTGGTCACCGGTGGTCCTTTCCAAGCGGTTGGTCAGCCATGCCAAATTCATGGGCCCAGGCTCTCCTTTCCTTTTCTCCTTGCGGTCCCTGTCCCTGTCCCGATTGCATAATTTAAACGCAATTCCAACATGAATTCGATTGCCCGACATGAATCCGAGGAGCTGGGCTTTGCCCAGTAACTCAACTGGGAGCTCTGGCTGTGGCTTCAGCTCAGCCCGGAGACCCGAATGCATTTATGAATGAGTTGACACACTCACTGGGCCTCAAATTTTGCGGCTGGCCTGTCAATATTTGTCCCCTGGAACAAGCGGTCACACCTTTTGTTCCCGCCGTCACTCCGCCTAATGGCGTGCAAATAGTTTTCACAATTGAGTTGTCAATTTTCGGGGTTCCGAGTCTCCCGAGCTCGTAAATTCCTCAAAAACTTTTTGCGCTCATCTCAAATATTTGTCATTGCCCATTTTACGGTTTGCTTTGGCACAATGTAGCCGCAACAGCTCCGGCACCATAGAGCGTAGGAGTCCTCAGCCCAGTGGCATTTAATGACATTTTATGGCTGCCCCACCTAGGCCAGGCCACAGCCACGAGCGTGTGAAGGTGTTCTCTAGCAGGGCCAAATTGAGTGGGCGTCAGGGTGAATTTCTGGGGGAGCACTAACACGTGTGCAAGCTAGAGAGGACTTGTAAGCTTGAGTTTAAAATTAAGGCAGGAAAATGCCATGTTGTGCTTACAATTAAATATTTATTAAAATTTTGTAAATTATTTATAACAAGTTTCATGGTTAAAAGATCTATAAAGTGCTGACCGACACTGCGTATGAGTAATGTCATAAAGGAAGTTTTTTTTTTTTTTTTTTTGAATGAGGGATACATTCTGATATGTTCTTTAAGAAACTATTTACTAGAACTATACCAATATAATATATAAAATTATTAATTAATTAATAATTATTAATTAATGATTTTTATTCTTCCAATATAATAAACAAAATCTTTAAGACAGGAAACTGTCTTATCTTTTGATAACATAATTTTTATTCACATTTCAATGAATTGTTTTAATATTTTAAATTGCTTTTGCTATGAAATAGAGAAATATTTAATAAATTAATACTTTTAAACCCCAAAAAAAGAGAGTAAGGTTCACTCTAAAGACACAAAATACTACTCTTTAGAATGCCAAGTCACTTGCAAATGATTAAATTATGCAACTCACATCGATTACAATTGAACAATTACTCAGCTTTTACGTACATTCACATTTTCTTGTGTACTTTCAAGCTTTGAAGATGAATTTGGTTTTTTTAACATATAGAAAATGCGTAACAAAAGCTTTATTAAAAAATATTAAAGACATGCAAGTTTTGAGATAGAAATTGAAAAAAAAAGAAAAACTCCAACCAAATAAACTTAAATAACACTAAATAAGCGCAAAGAAAACAATTCCTGTAGTTTAATAATGTAAAGAAAGTAATCAAAAAATATTAATAACATCCTTAATTAAATACAACACTTAAAGTTAATATTTTGCAACCAATTAAGCTAAAAGGTAACCGAAGCCGTAGCGTAATTTGGCCATATTAACTACTCCCATTTGCTGGCTCTCTCCATGACACATTTTCCGACATTTTCCGGCGTCGAAAAATCGTTTCATTTAGGAGCTGGCGAAATGAATTCGACCAATTAACTGGCTGCCGAAAAACTCATCAGACTGCCGGCGAGTACATGCCATTTTTTTTAATGGCTTTTCCGGTAATGAGCCGCCGCTTTTCCCAACTGCCAATAAGTGAGCCCGGTTATTAGTTTAATTTGGCACAGAGTGCCATAAATCAGCAGCGGTTGTAATTGTGATCCCCCACGTAATTTGTTTCTCTGAAAGGCTCTATATACGTATATATATTTTGGTTAAATTTATTAAACTTCAGCTAATTTTGGCTATATTTTTCGATTCGATTTTCACAGAAAGCTGTCAGGGACCGCATGAGAAGCGACTGCTGAATCACCTGCTCTCCACGTACAACACTCTGGAGCGACCGGTGGCCAATGAATCGGAGCCTCTGGAGGTGAAGTTCGGACTGACGCTGCAGCAGATCATCGATGTGGTAAGTGGTCGCGGAAATATTAATACCCGCACTCCCCAAAAGAACTATATATATAGTGAAACAGCTAACATTCCGAAAAGCATCTAATAATGAATCAAGTAGAACTCCGAGAGAGAGAACTGCCAGGGGCACTGAGATTATATTATTGTTACGTGAACAGGCTAAGAATTAACAATTATTGATTGCGTCTCTTATAGGATGAAAAGAATCAGATTCTGACCACAAATGCGTGGTTAAATTTGGTAAGTGACATGTACCCGTCGTTTCTGTGTGTCACACATCACAAAACTAATTATTAGGCTTGCGATTGCGATTGCGATTACGATTATTATTATTTATCGTTTGAGGTTTCCGTTTCCGTTTCAATTGCCGTTTTCTGTTACAGTTTCCGCAAGCGAACAAGCGACAACTTTTATATAACTTGAACCACCACAAAAACCACACAAAAATATATATGTTTCTTCATTTTTTTTTTTTCATTTTGTTTCTCGTCTGAAATTTGTTTTTGGCATTCAATAATTATTGCCCCACGGGGGCTTCTTTATCAATAAATAAATACATATTTGCATATGCATATGTGTTGTCTGTGTGTGTGTGTGTGTGGATGATGTGCGTGCGTGTTTATTTGAGTGCGATGTGTGTATTGGAACATTTTTTTCCCTCCGTTTGTTTGTTCATTTTTTTGACATTTTATTTTACAAGGGAAGTGCCAAGCGTGTACATTTCAATTAAAGGAAGCTGCAAATTAAAGGAGCAGGATTCAAATTAAATCCAACCATGAAGAATTAATGCTGGCAAGGAGGGGGTCCTGATTTCCGAGATTTCTGGGATTTCTTTAAAATATTAAGACTATGATATATAGTGTTCTCCTGCCCCAACTGATTAGCCTAGTAGGTAACCCCAGCTTAGCCTTATCTCGACGCTTTCAAGGACCTTTGATTTACACAAATTTCACTTGGCCCCGACAGCATGACGATGATGATGATGATGATGGAGGGGCCAAGGCATTCGGCTGGACAAGGGATGCCCCAAAATGGCATTGCTAAATTGGCAGAAATTGCCCGGGCAGACCATAAACATAAACAAATAAATCAAAGCAAAGGACCCGAAAGGACATAAATAAAATTTATATATTTGCGAAGCGACAGCCATTTTTTACCATTCCATGGGGCTCACCTGAAACTTCTTCTCTGATGGTCAGTTTTGACCCGGAAAAATGTAGGTGAAAACCGGAATGGGGAAACCCTTTTCAAAAACGAAATAACAAAAAAAAAAAATGAATAGGTCCTCCTTCTCCTGAGCCACGAATCCATGTCCAGCGGCGGCAGATTTATGTTTAGCCGTCAATTTTCAATTTTTTTCTCAACACAAAAACGAATCGCTTTGTGTCTAACAACTTTTGAAACGAACTAATTGTCGTTCCAATTAAAAAACAAGGACTACATGACCGTGTTTGCAATTGATTGCATTTAATGAATCCCCTTTTTGTTGGACAGCCACGTGTTTAGGCGCTTTTTATTCCAGCCTGTTTATCGCCCTGTTTGGCTTTGTGTGATTTCCATATAGTTTTTCAATTTCGTTTTAATTGTTGTGTACATTTATCCGTTTTTGTTGGTCTCACATATATTTATTTATCCATTTTGGTTTTCACAGATTGTGTGGCAACCGTGAAATGAAAACATTTTATATATAATTCCCCGGAAACACGCGGCATGCCGTGTGAATAAATGTGCTTAGTGGGGAAATCATATTCGCGCGATACAATGTCCGTTGATCACAGTTGGTCCTGTGCGTTTGTAATCCCCCTGTTACAGTGCGTTTCAATAGCGAATCGATCCCAAAGGGGTACCCCAAATCAATTCAGATTAATTGCAGCACTAACAAGGTTTGCAAATGCATTTAAAATCAAATATTTAGTGCGATTTGGTTTGTATTTATGAGTTATTTCCTTTGCTGGGTCTTATGGGTCCATTACCCTTTTGGAGTCCATAACCTTCTATGCGAATTAGTCTGCTCCATTAAGTGCATTAATCGATTGACAATATGATTTACAAGACCCAACCCACGCCTCCCCCCTGTTGCAATTATGTTTTACTTGCATTTAAATTTACGAACGTGTGTGCGTGTGTGCGAGTGTAAATGCCTTCTTTACGGATTATGTTCGATATAAACGTATATTTACCATATATTTTTGCTGGGTACATGTCATAAAGCGTTCTCTGATTAAAAGGCAAAAGCCGCAATTAAAACGCAACCAAAAACAAAACAAGAAAAACAAACCAAAAGCAACAACTAAAGTCGTGTCTTGCATGTTGTTTAAACGAAGTGCATTTAAAAAGTGAAAGATAAACATATATAAAAAACAAAAACAAATCCAAGTCGGTGTTTTCTTTGTATCTATATCTACATATATATTATATATTGCCATATAAATGTATCTGCATATTGCGAAAAAACACAACTAACAAACCTAATCCTCTTAAAAAATATTAACAAAAAAAACCGAAAAGATATCGATGAAGTTATGGCTTTAATGTGCGCTCGCTCGCCTCACGAATAAATTATATAATTAAGGCTCTCGCAAATCAAATGCATTTTAATTTACACGATTAAATATGTATGAAATAATTTGATTTATGCACTAGGCAATCGGACAGATGGATTGCTGGTGCCGGGGTGGGATTGAGAATTGAAACCGCAGCCCGTTGATTTCCAGTGGCATAAATTATAAATCGATCCGAATGGGAGAGAGATTTATGATTCCACGAGCACTGACATTTTCATCGGCTCCTGCGTTGGGTCGCAGCTTTGTCAATTACTCAAATTGCAGCAACTAATAATGAATGTCCTTCGCATGAATATATTCCCTGTGTATGTGTGGGTGTGTGGGGATTACTGACGGACCGACAATTGCCAAAGTTTGGCAAGTATTCAAGGCGACCACGTTCTGGTGGTTACTCTAACGGCATGTCCTTCTACTCCTGATGATGATGATGATGATGATGATGACGGTAGCCGTTGCAACCTAATGCCATTGAGCAGGCAGCAAGGCCGAAGGCTCCTTTGGCAGGACATTAAAATGCACATTGTGGCCCGGGCATCATCAGCACGAGCATCAAAGTTAAGAAAAATAAAGTCATTAGCATTTTTCGGCTAACACCAAAAGGACTTCGCCCCCCCACCCTACTAATGACTTGCCAGGTTGCAGGCACCACAAAAGCCCCTAAATGACTCGATCCCTAGTAATATGTGTGTCAAAAGGAAATGGCCAAAGGACACCGCCCCTTGTCCCCTTGAAAAAACATTGAAAATTTGGCGAGAACAAGCTTTCATGGCGTTTAATCTGCTGTCCGGGGGTGTGGCCCTTAGTCACAAGTCAGAAATCGGATTCTAATGCAGATTATTTTGGCAATCTGTGTGAAGATTTTAGCTTTTTCCCAGAGTTTTCGTGAAAAGGGAAACATTCAGCTGATAGAAGCGAAAAAATAATGAAGATTAATTCGGTGATTTACAAACGAACTTGGCCTCGTTAAGATCGCAAAACAAAAGCTATTTAAAATGTTTGGCCATTTAATGGTTCAATTGAATTTGGTAATGGTTTTTTGAATGTCTCGATATTTTATGTCTCTTAAAGTTGTTTGTGTTAAGTTGTGGAAGGTCAAAAGTAAACTTGAGGCTTTGATTAAGGAATAAGGGTAAAATAAAATAATTTCCAGAGCTGTAATTAAAATTTTCTAATTTAAAAGTATACATAATTAAGTTGAATGAAATTAACCAGACTTTTAAATATTTTTATTCCAATCTGTTTAGCCTTTAAAATAAATCTCTTAGCTTAATATACATCTTTTCAAGCCAATGATTCAAGCCCAAATCCCCTAACAAAATATATCTAAACTTGCAACATTTTAGAATACTAAAGCCACAAGTCAATTAACTTGCCATGCTCTTAAGCTCTCTCACACACGAAATCTGAGTGTGTCAGGGGGCAAAGATTAAAAGTGAAGGCGGTGTGTCGCATCTATTAGCGTTATCCATTGATATACCATAAGCAGCCCTCAGCAGCCATTATGAACATACTTTCGCCCAAATTATTACCCCGCCGGAGTTCGACAAAGTCATTTGCCAGCAGCGCTGAACAAACTGTGCTCCGCCTTGCTCCGAGCTCACTTATCGCCCACTCATTTGTCTGAGGCACTTCGACGGGCGCTGCCAAGGCCAACAAACTTCGTCCTTGAACCAGGAGGCGGGATAGCAGCGGGTCCTTGGCTCATGTGCATAACCCATTTGTAAGCAAACAGCAACAAGAAAACTTTTGGCAAAGGCATTCATTCATTCATCACAGAGTCAGAGTCAGAGTCAGAAGGGGGGATCGAAAGTGCTTGAAATCGGAGATCTGGATTGCTGCTATTGTTGCCACAGACGACACAACGGCAATTGTTGGCTCATTAGAAACTCATTTAAAAACAATTTGGCACGTTAATGCAAAATAAATCTATAGCTTATGCACGTAAATGTATCTGTAACCGAGGAGCAGACGTGCTCTCGCGATTAAGCCAACTCGAAGTACCGAGTATGAAGTCTGCTGCAAATGGTGCTTTAAAGTTGGCCCCGAAAACGAAGCCCAAGTGTCATTAGTATGCGTCAATGTCAGGGGCTCCACATCCTCGTTCTACATCCCACATCCTGCTGTCATAAACATGAAATTTGCACAAAACCGCCATTTTTATAAGGTGTCAACAGCAAATATCGTACGCACACACACACATAACCACATTGGAGAGGAAGTGCCTGCATATTGGCTTAAACGAAAACGAAAATGCCAAGCTGTGTGGTAGTGGTTCCCTTCGCCGCCGCGGGGTGCGAAATGAATACCGGTTTGTGGAGCAGAAATCATCCAGGTCACCAGACCAAGCTCTTGTCCAAGGATGTGGCTCCTTTCCGCCCCTTCTTGCATATCATTAAGCAGCCCCGCTCCGGCTCCTGGTTTTGGTCCTGAATCTTTTTAATGGCTCAAGTCGTTACTGCAGCTGCTGCTGCTGAACTCGCCCACTGTTTTTGGATTTTTTCCCCCTTCTCGGTGGGGTTTTGGGGTCTTGTACTCAGCAAGGATATTATAGAGTAGGGTATACGAGTTGCAATTAAATTAAAATTATTTAAAATATTTTTTTCATCCGTCTTTTGATAAGGCATGGAAATACAAAACAAAAAAAAAAGCCTTTTCAGCTATAATTCTCTATAGTTT